CAGAGACAGAGAACCTCAGATTACAATGAGAGATCAGAAAGAAGGATCATGTTCTTTAGTAGCAACTCAAATTCTGTAAGCTGCATGAGCCGCTCGCAGGAAAGGAACTGGCACACACTGCACCATCCTGTGGGTCCAGGGGCTGACTGTAGCTTTGCAATGAAGAGGACTGGCCATCAGCTGGACACCTATCACTCTACTTCCTCTTTCTGAAGCACAGCAATGAATAATTATCTACAGTAAATACGTGCACTGCAGCACCGTTGCCAAGCAGGAGCGTATGTCACATCCCTGAATTTAGGGTTTATTGGATGAGAAGCCAGCTTTCTGAATTTGGATATTTGGTGTCAGCTGGGACAGATGTGAGGAGCCATGCAACTCAGGCACTGTTTGTGCTTGGTTTCCAGGCACCAACTTTGGTTTAAAGCTGATTATATTTAAGGAAGGAAATAAGCTTTTGTTGTTTGCATTCACTCTCTCAAAAACTTCTGCACCTTAAAGCTGATAAAAGCACAGCATATTTGTACAAGTTAAAAAAACTGTTTCACTTAGGAAAAATAATGCCCTTTTGAAAACTGCAATTAGTTGAACAAGTGATGCAATATGCATATAAAATCTATCAGACCAATGCTACCTCAAGACAGAGTGTGTGCTCATCAACACAGCGCTAAAATAGCATCACTCCAGAAGTTCAGCAGCCTAGTTTTAAGAACTCAAGTCAGATAATAGTTACTTCTGCAAGACAAGTAGAAGCAAAGTCTGCTTGTGTCAGTCAGTATGACAACATAATTTAATTCCATGCAACAGGAAGAAATTTTTCTCCTAGAATCTAAGAAATCAGAATTCTGGACAGAGCACAGTTCATGTTTTTGTTACATATAGTTCTTTTCTGTTCTGCTTTACTGCTTAGAAAATGAAGGCTTACAAACATTCACAATGGTAATAAAATCTTACTCCAGTTCAGACTTCTTTTTGGCAACCAGGAGGTGGAATCAATGCTCCATCAGATCCATCAGGCCATATCATTAGTGTAACTAAAGCAAGGTCTACAAAAGGAAGAACACGAAACCAAAGGTCCCTAAACTTTAAAAAAACCAACCAAACAAAAAAAAAACCAAAAAACCCCAAAACAAAAACAAACCCATTTTTCTCATCAGTTGCCTTCTCTAGAGAAGCAACAGCACAAGACACTCATTCAAGCAGTCTTCTTCCCTCCAAAAACACATATCTGTCCAAGTCCTTTCCAGCATCATCTTGTAGTCCAGGGGCACCTAGGTCCCCAACTTCGGGCTAGAAGCTCTCACAAAACAACCCAGGTTTCTCTACCACAAACAAACTAAGGGCCTTATGCCTCTGGGTTGCCCTGCCCCACACATTTCCCAGCTGCATTTCCTGGGCTCTCACACCACTCATAGCCCTGCAAGGAACATTCAGTGACCAACACCAGAACAAGCCTCAGTACCTGTGGCATGGGCAGACCTCTTGCCCAAGGGGTGCTCAGCCAGTCTGACCAGTCACTAGCACACAGGATACTTACCTTGGAAGTAGGACACCAGCAGCAGGGTGCTGGAAGAACAGCACTGCTCTGTTGGGGAGGACAAGCCAGGATGCACAGCTTACCATGCCACAGCAACTTAACCAGCATGGGGCACAGTACCAAGCAGCATAAGCAGAGCAGAGCTGGTGGCAATAACAAGTCCCAGAATCAGCCCAGCAATCATCAGACATGCAAAGACAAGGCAAGTCCCAAGGCAAGCTAAGAAATCTGGCAGTAGGGTGAAGGCTGGAGGCACCAGGAGAGGTTGATGAGGGTAATTAGAGTCTATTAGCACCTTCACACACTGCCAACTGGCTCTCCTCAGGCTAATTTGAGTCAAGGATTTTACCATTTGTCCATGAGCCACTTTATAGACACTTTGTTTTCTGAAATTCAGGCCCACATTTCTGCAGCCAGAAGTGTTTTTTACTTGTAATAAATATTTTCATCAGGCTTCTGTCTTTCTTACCTTCTAACCTGTTTCTTGTGCTTACCTTTGCTGTAGCCCCCAGCATTCTGTGCACACTTCTCCCCAGCATGCAGCAAGGTCTGCCTGATGACAACCATGAAATCCTGTGTCCCGCCCAGGAGGGCTGCAGCCCTGATGACCGTGAATCCTGGTGGGAAGACCTCTGCCAGGGAATGGGGCAGCCTTGCGAGGTGCACAGCATCCCATGTCCCTGTCAGGATCCATCAGCATCTGCTTGGCTAAACAAAGCTCAGCTCTTGGGCCCCACTGAGCCCCCACACTGCTGAAAAAATGCAAACCCCTCACCATTTCTTGAGCTGAAAATAGACCTGTAGCAATTTTGATTGCTGCCTGAGCCAAGGGCATTTTAACTATGCCTCCCCTGCAGTGATTCTGCTTCTCTGGGGTGGCAAAGGACACCTCTGTGCTGTGGAGAGTCACTTTGGGCTTTCCATCATCTTCCTCCAGATTAAAGGTTAGTGTATCTGGGGCAGGCTGGGATATTTTGGAGATGCCTCCTTGCCAGCCGTTTCCCTCATAACACTTTTATTTTTAAATGTGTGTGTTGACAGACACCCAGCTGCATGTGCTGGGGGATTATCACATACCCCCAGAGCTGGCACAGCCCTCCACATGCTGTCCATGTCTGGCAGGGCTGCAGCTGGGTCCCTGCCGCTGCAGGAAGAGAAGTGTGGTTTGTCTCTGTAGATAAAATAAGGTGGCAAGCTGCTGGGCCACTGGGCAGGTAAGTGTTTATGCAAGTGCTGAGACACAGTGAGTCCTTTCACCCTTATCCACAGGTCCCAAATTGTCTCGTGCACTTAATGGCTACTCTGGTCACTCAGCCACTGCCCACCAGTCCCACTCATCTGCCAGCACTATTTATACCCCAACTCTAGGGTTTCAGAGGGGTTGGAAAGCGAGCTCCACAGTGCCACAGCAACAGGAATGCTTACAGAGGCCCAGAAAGGAGGGTTGGAGTTAGGGCGGCAGTTGGAGGCAGCAAGTGCCCAGGGAATGCATCCGAAACAGCCCCCAAGCTCCCAGACCTTGACGAGGAGACGCCTGTGAGCCAAGCCTGGACAGAGCAAGGGCTGGGCACTGGGGCTGCCCAGACAGCAGGAAGAAAAGGGAGGTTTTGTCAGTGCCACACAAAGCGTGGTTTAATCCCCACTGACCACAGCAGACAAAGAACAACAGTCAGCAGATGCCAAGGAGTAGGTTTTAACTGCCCGGGGAGCCTTCCCATTATGGCTGAGTAACACTTGAAAAACGCAAGAGGCAATTATAGGGGCTGTTTATCTTTTTATTATAAATTTAGTATGAATGACCAATGGAAAAGTCACAATGGAGTACCAAGAACATTTTATCAAAATTTTAGCAGCATTTAAACAGTAATAGATTCCCAGCCTCCTCCGGGCACCCTTTGCCCTTTGCCTCCCACCCACAAAACAGTAACCTTCACTCAAATGTGCTTTCCAAAGGCACGCAGGGGATGCAGCTAGACATTTTCCCCTGAGCTGCCTTGAAAAAAATCTCATCCCAAATGCTGGTTACCATACAACCTCCATCCATGCAGGGCCAGGCTGCCATCCCCTCCTTGCCGTTGGCAGCACAGCAAGAGGCTGGCTGGCTGTGGCATCGGATGGGACTTGCCACGGGGGAGGCAGCATCTGCTCACATCCTCCCCGTTGTTTCTCACACTATCCCCTGCATGGATCAGCACTCCCATGGGCGCCCATTACCTTCAACCACAAAACCAGGGCTAGGCCCATTTCCTAACAGCTGCTGCCCTTTGCTTCTGTACGCGGGGGTTCCGTGCATGCCACGGTCCCGCTCCTGTACCTGAGAGTGTGTGCTTGTGGCTGGATGGACAGGAAAAGGGGAGACTGACGGTCTGTTCTCCCACAGGAATTGATAGGAGGGCAACTGGGAGCTGTGACTTGAAGGGGAAAGGTAGAAGGTGAGCAGTGAGATACTGAAGTATCAACCCACGAAATGAAGTCAGTCTACTATCAGCTAATGTGGAGAACCATGGTCTGCCTACTAAGTCACAAGAGCTAACTTTTTTGTGTGCGCTTCTTTTTTTTTTAAAGTTACATTAAGACATGAACAGTACTATCCCAGCCTCACTGGCTGGAGCTTGGTGAAAATGCTGAATTAGAGGTTGGGAAACACAACACACGCTCACACGTGTAGACAACAACATAATATTGGCAAGCTATTCCCCTGCTTCTTTGGTACTTCCTAAACTTTCTTATCCAAAATATATAAGGGAAATGCACCATTTAAAAGTTACTGTTGTAAGTATTTACACAGCCATAACCATCACGCTATGATACACAAAGATCAATGTGATATGAACAAAGTTATTTTATGAAAAGCACTTCTGCACATTTTATTTTGTTCCAGTATCTTAATAGCTTTAAAAAATTCATGTGTTATGCAGTCCTGTACCTCGCTTCTTATATCAAATGGACAAGAAACATTTCCTAATCCATACTCTTCTTCAAAAGATTAAAAAATAGCCACCAAAATGATACACTATGTACAAATTTTACTAAATATTAAATTCTAGGTAATTATTTTCACCCCACTGATAATATAACTTAGGTATTGTTACCTACTATATGCATATATATTTCTGTAATATATAAGAAATGGCACCACATCACCATGTCACCAATATGACACATTGTTATGTACAGTAGATAAGAAGTTAGATATGGAAGATGGATCCTCTCCGACTGCTTCTTTCATGGGAACGCTTCTCCCCTCGGTAGTAGCTTGGCCATTTCCCCTTTTCCCAGCAGAGGAAGCTCTTCAGATGTAAGGCAAGATCCCATACCTCAGCAGCGCCATAACCCCAGCACTGAACAAGCCAGCCACTGGCACAGTCACAAACCACGCCAGGAAGATGTTGCGGAAAAGGCGCCAGTCAACAGCTTTCTTGGAGCGGATCCAGCCAACGGCCACCACGGAGCCAACCTTGGGAGTGTGGGGAGGAGAGAGGGAGACAAGATGTGAGGGGTAGGTCTGAGCGCCTGTAATATGTCCACAACCACACCAATGCCAGCCAGCTGATACCAAGCAATGCTCTGAGATAAAGCAGCCCCTGAGGATGACAGTGGCTCTGTTTGGGTGTGGTGGCAGCAGGGTGACACTTCCAGGGTGCTTTAACCTTTATTTTTAACTATCTGTTTTTCGTGAGTCTTGGGGTTGGCCAAAGGCAAATAAATATGTTTGTAGGTTTTTCTCTGTCCTGCTAACTCCTGCATCAGCCATCAGTGGAACTGAGGCAGCCCTCCACCTTACTCTCAGTCCACAGGGTGTAGGGCAAGTGTCCACCAAGTCTGGCCAGACTGCAGTCTAAATTATGAAAAAACCAGGAGAGCTGTTTTTAGGGCTCTGCTAGAGAGCGTTGCATGGGGCAGGTCAGGAGAACTAGTATGTCCCGCTTGCCTGCCCTCTTGCTGGTTTGGGATGTCCTGCCCAAACCCAGCAGCTGCGGAACCTCTGCAGCTTACAGCCCAGCGTAGAGAGGTGACTCAAAACAGCATATCTGTATTTTAATACTGTGGGCTATAAACAGGACAGCAATGGCAAGGTAAGCAGCTGAGTCCACCCTGTGACAGTGAGGGTGACTTGGCAGGGGACAGATAGACAGTGCAAGGTTAGATGCAGTACATCAAACTCATCAGTCCAAGCCCTCTGAGGAAAACCAGCCCTTTTGGACCAGCTAGCCAAGCAAAGCATCCAGAGCTAAAATCCTCCGTGCAGACAAAGACATCAGCCTGATGCTTTGGGGCACACAAACTGCACAGACACCAAGACAATGGTGGGGAAGTGGATGAACCACCAAAATATCCTTCAAAGTCATGGCTACTAGGGCAGCGGGGTAGGTCAGTGGTTTTGTAGACAAAACACATTGTAGCATGGCAAAGCTGCAACCTTTTCTTCCTTTGACTGTGTTTTCAGTCCATAAGCTCAGGTATAAACCCAGCATATTAGTTCTTAAGAAAAAAACTGGGCTGAAAAAACCATTTTCAGTGAAAAATTATACAAAAACTTCAGAAACTCTCTATTTTCTTTCTGCCCTGGAAGTGGCTTTCCATGCTGTTAGCAAAAACATGTGCATGTCTATTCAAAGTGCATGGTAAAGCAGCAAGAAATGTGGAAGGAATATCCTGTTTTGAAGGTAAGGAAACTCCAAGACACAGCTGAGCATGTGCCATCCCTGCCTACCCACTTATTTTCTTAATGGGAGTATCAGTCCCTGCCTACAGATCAAAAGACGGGCTGCTCCCCATGTACAGAGCCAGGAAAATGATAAATGCTAGGAGGACAAGGAATCAGGGAAAGACGGGATGGAGATATCAAATCCATTTTTTTTGTTTATACCTACTTAGCTTCTAACTATTGCTTAATGTTTCTTTTTGGAGAACAGTTATTTGTGGAAGACCTTGTAACTCTAGGGTGCCTGTGATGGAACAAGGGAAAACTAAATCTGATATTCTATGACCAGTAAGGCCTCTGTCTAAAGCTTGATCCAATAAGGAAATTGTTTGGATAATATTTCATCTGAATACTGCTTGAGTGGATAATATGCTATTCTGTATTTAGGAGGAGCCCAGTGAAGAGGAACCCCACATTTCTGCCTATATCAAAGCCTTAATTCAAGGAAACAGCGTTTGGTTTTCCAGCAGCTCAGCTGTGAGGCTCAGCTTTCCATTTTCCATGTCCTTAGCATCCATCTGTCATGCTTGCAACAAGAAGCATTGCTTATTGAGTAAGCCTGCAGTCTACGTACGCTAGTCTCCGAGTCCTTCCTGAAATTTAAAAGGTATCAGCAATGATGGCATTGGCAATCTGTTTCAAACATTGTTAAAGTTTAGTTTATTAATAGTGATTTTGATGGACTAGAGGTTAGGAGAGTAACTAAAACTTGGGTGTAGGCACACTACACCACCTGCAGAATTTCAGATGATATCTACTTTGAGATTGGTTTGAAACCAGTGCAGTTTGCCTTCAGTATGCTCTGCTTAAAGCATTATAGAAATGCTCTTGGCTCTTGTTCCTGTGCAATGGTGTATCATAAGAACACAGAGAACAGGATAATTCAATCATAGCAGCACAGAGAATATTTTTCAAAACCCCAAAATCATAATGGCAAAATGGAGCTGACAGTATGACCTCAGCAAAGTTGCTTTTGCGGAGGAAAAGCATTTAACTCCTGCACTGTAATTTTATCTGTACATGAACACAATCTGTTACAGCTAAGAAATGTCTATTTATTTCTACATCTCAAATCTTAGAATAAATAACAGGTGCTATGTGTAACATTCAATATGATCATTTGCCCATCTGGGCAATAGAAAGGCAAGGTATGCATTCACACCATACCAGCTTTTCGGTGCTAAATCCTAAGGGAGGTTGAATTGGTGCAGGCAGAGCGATGTGGCTACCACGTTCAGATTCACAAATTCCTTTGGAGGCTCAAAAGATGAGGTCTTTCCTTCAGGCTTCCTTGACTTAGAGGCTTTCAGAGGGCTTTTCTTCTCCCCTTTGACTCATGGCAAACGTGAAGGTGCAGTTCAGGCTCTCAGCAGGCACTGAGCGTGAAAAAGCTGCTTGGCTCTAGATTTAGGACAGGCACATCGAGCAGTGACCACCTCATGTAGACCAAAGCCTCTGATTTAGGACCAAAGGCAGCTCCTGATCTGAGAGGGACTGATGAATCTTTCTCAGAAGCTAATGCTTCTCTTCCTGCTACCAGTTTGCCACCACATCTGCTCCAAGACCTGAAAACTGCTGCTCAGAGCTTTCCTTCATACTTAGTCTCCATTTTTCATTACAGACTATTGTTTCACCTTAAAAAGGTCTCATTCCACCTCTGTTGTTTCATGCTGCTCCTTCTTTGCCATCAGTTTATCTAGTTACCGCATGTTCAATTGACTGACACCCCTTGGTAGGGCTCCCACTTCCGCAAATTCTATTTTGCAGTGGAGCAAAAACAAATATTGGGTAAAGGAATAATTTCCACTCCCTGATGCTTGAGCCTCAATATCAAGCTAACCTCGAATCTCTTTTCTTTCTGATTTCTAGGGCAAAATAATTTTCCTGCTGATTTTTAAGACAGCATTTTTGACTCAGTGGCTGACAGCGCTTTCAGAGAGGAATTTTTACATGGAGCAAAGGATATATAACAGTCCTTTTATTCCTTCTCTGGGCCCTCAAAGAAAACAAGGAATTAATCTGTTACAAGTGTTTGCTTTATCTTGTGTTGATCACTTATGATCTTTCAGCTCAGGATCTCACTTTGCTGAAACATTGAGTCAGTTATAATGACATGTTGTCCTGGAAGAGTCTAATCCTATTGCAAAGTGGATCTTTCCATTAAGAATGATCCATCTAATGAGATACAGCAAACTACAGGGACCAGACACAGACTAACCACATCAACTGCTTTTATGAAAGTATTTTTTAAAAAGAACTATTTTGCTCTGCAGTTAGAAAAGACCAAGCTTTTAACTGCATTGAGGGAATGAATACCTCCTCATGCCACCCCCTCATTAGCTTATGGCTTCCAAGACATTTTCTTTTTAAATTCAGTTTATTTATCTGCACCAAAGTGTGTTTTCTCTTTTACAACAGTTGGCTAGAAGTGCTTCAGGCACACAGGGATAATCAAAGCTGTATTATTCTCCCTGGCAAATTCTTCATCATGCATTTGATATACCAGTCATCTTAAAGGGAGGTGGTTTCAGGCTAGCATTTTTAGAAGTGGATCATGTTGTTATTATTTTTCCCCTCCCTGCTTGATTCAGAGGAACAGAGTTCTGTCAATGCCAGGAAATCTGAACAGCCTTTCAGAGCAGCTCAGTCTTGGCTGCTTCTCAAAGAGGCACCAGGGCAGAAGAAAGAAATGATTTTGCAACAGAGGAAGGCTTTCTGAAGAAATGGTTTTCACTAGAAAAAGGCCAATTGACTCTTTCACTGGAAACCAGGTCAATGTCACAGGCAAGGATGCCAGGTTTTTTGCCAGCCCGCCTGCCATGCCGTGGAGCAGTTAGCCCCGGAAACCTGCCTGCCTGCCCCAGCCCCAGCCCAGGCTGGAAGGGCTCCAAGGTCTCCAGGGTGCAGTAGTGAATCCTACAGGATCTGTCTTTTTTTAGGGCTTGGTCTTGGTGGCATATCACGCCACTGAGGGACTTTGCCACTCTGGGGTCTCTGATTTTGGAGGGGCTTCCCCACATCCTGCCAGTGGATGAGAGAAACAAGCAGCTCTGCATGTCCAAGACCTTGGGAGTCCATAGGGAAGCAAAGGAAAGAAAGATGGGATATTTGACTTGAAAATTTCCCAGGGAACATAATTTTAAATTCCCATTATGTTCTTCCAGCAGTGTAAATGTGCACATACTCCCTATGTCTACAAGCAATATAAATGTCTTTTCACACAGCCTACCATATGACACAATTAAATTTGCTCATTACCCAGCCGATATCTATACTCCAAAGTGGTCTTTTTTAGAAAATAATAAGAAAGCCAACAACCTTGTTCAAAGAACTGATTATAAGGGCCAGATTCTGTATTATAATGCACAAAAGTGAGGACAAGTTGGTTTAAAAGAAGAGAGACATTAAAATATTAGCTTAACGATGTAGCAGTGTTTTTCATACAGGTTGCTCTAAAACACATGTAACTGGGTTCACACAAACTACAGATCTATGTTATTTTAATATGTCTATATTAGTTCAGTACAATCATGTAAGGGTGAAAAATGGTCCAGACTTTTGTGCAATTAGTTATAATGCTGACTTTGCTTTTATCTGTACCAGCTTTAAAGGTGAACCTCGTTATTTTGCGATCACAGTCTGCACGGTGCACCACATAGTGAAGGCAATCTGCAACAATTGGTATCTCTTGTGGTTTGTTATGGTTTGTCCTAGTGATGTGATTTACTGATAGGATCACTGCAAACCCCAATACCTTGCAATGGGTGGAGCTTATTGGAATACCCACATTTGAGGCTACAAGTACCGTTAGCGCACACATTACTTCAATGCAAAATCCACTGTGAAGAAATAAAAAAAAAAAAAAAGACAGATGGAAAACCTGTAGTAAAAGAGTTATATGCAGGAAATCCCATGCCATGCACTTATCAAGAAAGTGAAGTATAAATGATGAATGGTGCGCAGCCTCTGAACAAGGGAGAAATGTTACCCGACCAGGTTCAAATGGCACTGTCAGAGGAAACCAGGTTCTTCCTTGTAATCATTTGCTTTAAAATTGATGTCATGTTTTTGTAAGTGCTGTTTTTCTTTACCAACAGCTATGGAGTTCACACTGTGTCCAATTCCAGTGACTTTACTGTGACAACTCCAATGCATTTTTTGGAAGCTTGATTATTTTCCAGTGTCACTGGCATGACCGAGATGCACTGATGCACCTCTGCCTAACCATCCTCTGTCAGCAGCTGTTTTCCCCTTGCCATGCCATTATCCCTGGCTCGAGTGGCACACTTTTAAGATGAATAGTCCAGACTGCCTTGACTGCAGTCGCTGGGCAAAGGCATACCTTGCAGTGTGTAGTACTGACAGGAAGTCCAACATTGGAAGCTACCACAACTGTGAACGCCGAAGCCAACTCAATAGTGAATCCACTGCAGGAAGCATAAGAAAACACTTCACAATCACTCTTTGCATCAGCTCGGACTGATACCATGCAGCGTGCCAAAGTCTTACCCGTTTCTTCTTTTGACTGTGTTATCTCCAAGTGATTTTTGTCATACAAATAAGTTAAGAGAACAAGGAAGGGTTGAATAATGGGACAGGCTAGTCATCTGTAGTAACCTGGCTGCATGGCTCATTGCGTCAGGGACTTTTACTACTCGACGCTGCAGTGAATCATGCCTAATTAGTAATTCGGTTAAGCACCAGCAGAGGTCGAATATGCATTAAGGATGAAAATTACTGTAATAAATACATTTAATAGTCAGAAGCGCACTGGGAAAGCCACTGTAATCTTGCCATTTCCAAATGCACCTTCTGCCATATTAATTAGGTCATCAGCAGAAGACTGTTCACGCAGACCTCTATGCCTCAAACACATTCAGTATTAGTTTACAGGGTTATCTTTTTTCCTTTCACTCTTTCTCATTCTTTCTTTCTCTCCTCCTCCTTTTATTTCTTTTATTTTTTAGAAAGATGGAGAAGTCGAAGCAAGGTTATCATTAATATCAAAGCACAGCAGATCAAGCAAACTGCATTACAAACAAAATACTGGAGCAGCCATTTCTCAGATTGGTTCACGCATGAAGTTCACAAAGCCGTAATGACACCTGTGGACCTACCTTGATGGTGTGATTGGAGTGAGGTCTTTACCCATGGTCTGGATAACTCTTCTACCCCAGACCCAGAGACCCACACAGATCCCAACACCTCCATAAAACAGCAGCCAGACGGGAGTCGACGCTTCTTGCATTACGCCACCTTGCTCGTAGATAAGCCAGAGCGCGACGAGGGGACCGATTGCGTTGCTGGAGAAACAGAAATACATCACCTGAGTTATAGAAATGTGGATAATTGCCTTGACAGAAGTCTCTTATTTTCTGTGTTATTTTAATTCACTGTGCATGCAGCACTGCTCTGACTTGATCCTACAGGCAACACCCTTTCTTGCTTGGAAAGGTTGAGGCAGGAGACTCTCATCATGTTGCTTTTTCAGCTGTCACTTCATCACTGATAACTAGAGTGAATCCTGAAAGGAATTTCTCTTTAACAAACTGTTTCCTAAAATGTCAGTCAGAAGTACCTCACTAAGTCTGTTCTGTGACAAAAATCAGTATTTTCAGCACTGCACTGAAACTATCTCAAAATTTACCAATTCAAGAGCTCTCCATCTTCAAAATTCAAGTATCAAATTAGCTCTTCCTGTCAAATAGGGAAAATAATGAAGAAAATTACCATTGCAGACAAGAATATAGAAATATAATCTAGTTTGACAGCCAGTAAAGTTTGGGATATGATCAGAGTGCAGCTAGGAAGGTGACTTAGTCCTCTTCAAACATGTTGTAGAGCTAGTTGGACTGGATCAGAGAGGACCCTTTGGTGACACAGAGCTGGCGTAAGCCCTTTTTGCTACCCTGCTGCTGCTATCTAGAAAAACACTGAAAGTCAGCCACACTGAAGTCCCCACTCCTAATGCAGGTCATCCAAAATTGGTCACTGGAGTCTCCAGTGCCTGGAGCCATACTTCTGACATTGTTTATTCTAAAAAAGCATGAGAGTTAGAAGAAAAACTTGAAAGCTGGTATCCAGTTACTTTAGAGGCTTAAATACTAAAAAGCAGATAAGAATTTCAATGTCCCTTTTTTTTCAGCTTTTTTACTAAACTGAGTAGCTGCTTGCCTGGTTGAGCAGTATTTATCCACTCCAAGAAAGCATACTTAGTGAAACAGCACTACATTTATGTCTAAAGAATCACAAAAAGAGCAGAGCAAACCTGACCAATGTCATTCAAAACATGTGAAAACCATCAGGAAGCACCGTTCCTTGTAAATCAATAAGGAAAGCGGGTCACAGCGAGCACTGCAGGCAGGACCGATGGCCATGCTCACCCTGGAGCCAGGACCAGCTAAATTTAGTTCCTGGTTCCGCTCCAAAACACACAGATGGAGTAAGGGCCAGTTTTAATGTCAAATGTTATGCAAACCAAGCCACCGTATCTGCCAGTTAATAATTTACTCGAATCCCATCTTTACCAAATACAAGGCACTAGAAGCTGAGTGGCGATTGCCAAGAGACGAGGGTCCTCAGCATTGCAAAGCTCGGCACATCTAAGCAATACAAGACCCTCCTTCTTTCGTCTGGTCCTTGAGAAATCCAGCTCTGAACCCTTGGAAGTGGTCCTGGAGCAAAGTAACTAGGAAGGAGTTTTCCCTTGTAAACACACACAACAACATTGAAGCTGCAAGGCAAATGCAAATATTTAAAAATGTTCTTTGATATAAGAAAGAATTTATAATTCTTACAGATTTTGAGAAAATTACTGAAAATAAATTAGTGAGATAATATGGATAATAAAATCCAGTGGGTTTGAAGACTGTGGGTTATACAGTGAAGAGCTAAATACACATTAAATAAAGACTGATTTCCACTAGCAAAAATACTTTAAAATTCTGATCTGATACTGTGCCTGAGTAAGCATTTGATTTGTTGATTTTTTGTGTGAATGGAATCACAGTATGTAAAAAGTCCTTAGGGCCTAAATGCAAGAATTATTTTTCCTCCAAGGAAGAAGAGATTCTTGATCAAAACATTTCTAATATTTTTAAGTTGACCTGCAACTTCTTTTCCAGTGTTTTCAGGTGCAGATTAAGTTACTTGCACATTTAAATGCCTTCTTCTGCACAGAAAAACAAAGGTAATTCAATGTACCTTCAACTGATGGCTACAGAAGGATGGATAAAGGCAAATAAAACACTGATCAGATGAATAAAGGGAAAACTGATCATCCCTTCTTACTGTGCTGTATAACATGGAAACAACCTCCCTGTTGAAAATAACAGGCACATTTGAAGCAAGTCCAGGCATTGATTCCTGACTGTTCTAAAGAGATTATGGATGGATATTTGTAAGTCCCAATGTAAATGGAAAGACAGAAAAGGCTTCAAAAACCGCAGCAGCAAACTATGCTCTTCTGCATCAAAATCCAGTTTTAATTATTTGCAAATGCTACACCTCTGTGAATCAACTAAGCTTAATCTTTGAAGAAAAGGTTATTTTTTTATTTGCAGCAATGGAAGACAAGGCAAAACTCTGCTGGCTTATGCTCAGCCTCAGAGGATCTGAGTGGCTGATTCTGCCCAATAGATCATAAGAGATGGCGCTGATGCCCACAGAAGCACCATTTCTGATACCTTCCCTATAAGAAATGAAAGCAGAAGAGTACTGGATCCATATATGTTTGGAAAGGCAAAAAGGTAATTAACCACATTTTTATTTGTGGGTATCTGCATCACTGGTTATCTTTACCAGAAGGATATTTCTCCTCTCCCTATAAATCATGTTCAGTGTGACTTAAATGTTCAGCTCCTAGGGACAGTGACATCTCCTAGCCTGAGCATCTGAAAGTGGCTACCAACAGCCACCAAACCAGTGGCTCCAATCTACCACCATCATGGCTCTCCAAGGGGCTCCTTCGGCTTCTAGATTTGTTCAGGAGGTCCGGTCCGAGGGGCCTATGGTATCAATGCTTCCAATGTCAATGAAGAACAACTCTAGAAGAAGCTGTTAGGCCTGTTCCACCACAAAACTACCGAAAGCTCACAATGAATGGGTCTGAGTCAGGCACTGGAAAGAATGACTTTGGTTCTGTATAGAAATAGAAGAGAACCAGTCCCAACAGGACAGTAAGAGCGAGTAAGAGAGAAACAACACACATGAAAAAAAAAAAAAAGGCATTGTTAGATAAGAGAGTTTGCTTTGATACCTTCTGCGGTTAACAGATGTCTCCTACAGCTGAGTGACTAACCAGATGAACCACAAAGATGCTGGCTAGACTGGGATGTGGCTTTCACAGTATTTCCCACCAGTTTTATCTCATTTGACTCAAGACATAACTAGCAAGAAAGCAGACCTTAAATCTTGCATGCATTTGGCTAAGACTCATTTCACAAGTCTATTTTCAAGTGACTTTCTCTCATTCTCCCATGCAGGTTTTTATTTGCCCTAACTAACTCTCCTTCATGCTGGAGCTCCAAGTCTTATTTATGGTAGCTTAGAGGAGAAGAAAAAAGCCTGAGATGTCACCCAGGGGCTCTGAACCCCTATCCACATCTATGTATACCTAAAACTGCTCTTAGGTTCCTATGAAACTGAAGTGCTTTAGAGGATGTTGCTGTATTATTTAGCTATTGGGTTTAAAAAGCAACATGAGCTGCTCCTGCCATGGCATTACTTTAATTTTGTATGCCTAATACACACTTTTCCACTGAGCACAAGAGGATGGCCATTACAAGCTAATTTTAGGATGAATGTACGAAATGGCATAAGAAGCCTACCTCCTGAGTCTACCTGTTGTAAAAGTCTACTTTCCACATCCAGTACTTTTCACCATCTCTGCTGGGCTCCACCAGCCACAGTTACTTGCAGGGCACAGGACTTTGCAGCAGGGGCAGTGCATAGGGGCTGTTTGCCTTCTCCAGAGGTGCAATACAGGATTAAATGCCATCTATAGTAATACTTGTACTTGCAGACACGTGTCACAGTGGTTCAGCAAAGTGCTGCTCAGTGTTTCTGAAGTGCTGCCTGACCCTCATGATGATTTCTCTCTCGACTAACGTGAATTGGCACAACTTCTCTTTTTCTGCTCGCTTGTGCCAGTTGAGAATCTGTCACGCACCATTTATAAAACTGTTGTGAAAGATAGCATTTGACAGTGAATCTGAACTATAAATAGAGTTGGCTTCTCCTCTCCCCTGTGAGACAGATAGTATTACCAACAACAAAAAAAAAAACACCCCACATTCAGCTATCATGAGACAGGCTTAGAAATTACAGTTTCCCATGTGCACACACACAAGCAGAAATTTCTGGTAACTTTGGGTCACAAGTCCAAGCCCTTCTCTGGAGGCACAAGGACTAAAACTTTTTTTAAATTATATTTTTATTAAAAAATTAGGGTTTTTTTCCCAGTAATGGAAGAATACCATCAGCTGAATGCTCTATTGCCAAATCCCATCAAACTTGTCATAACATTTTGTGAAGTAGCAACATTGCTGCTACCTCACTATTATTTGGGGGGAGTAGTGAGTTGCTCAAAAAGAAAATCTAACTGTATTTGAAATCTGCACTCTGAATATGCTTTGTTAATAATCTACAGACTCCTTGATGACCATGCTTCGATGCTCTGCTACCTGAAAAAAGAGATTGTGTTTTAGCCACTTTTTCTAGTGGAGTGAAAGAACCTTGAAATGTACATTTTCACCAATTAAAACTGAATGACGAGCTAAACAGCCATCTGAGAAATCTTTATTAGGCGTCCAGTATTACAAATACAATTGCAAAATCCCCAGCCTTTTTTCAATTTCTCAAGCCAGGGTTTCACAAACAAACCTTCCACTGGGAAAATCAGTGGGATGGATATTTCTGAGTAGGCTGTAGTTATGCCATGACATCACCCAGTTGAGTAAGGATGCAAGAAAGATTTGCCTATAGGTAGCAAGAGGAAAAAAAATATGTCCTGATCTCCAGAGATCTCAGATTATCAAGAGAGTTTAATCCTAATTCCAATAACCAGACAGTTCTGAAATAGTGCATATACCATAGAATAATAAAAGCGTGCCACAGATGTGCCCTGTGAAGTGCACAAAGTGCAAGCTTTGGGTGCGTTAATGAGTCAGGGAGGATATGTTTTTATTCTTGCAGCTCATTTCTGTGCACTCCAAATACTGCCCCTGAAACCCCAACTCACTGGATCCTGGAGAGTTGGGTCCATCCTCCCTCATACCCACCAGCATCAGCTTTTTTCCTGGCA